TGGGGGCCAAAAAAAAGGTTTTTTTTTTTAAAAAAGGGCCCCTTTTTCTAAAAAAAAACCCCCCTTTGGGGCCCCCCCTTTTTTTTTTTTTTTTTGTTTTTAACCCCCCCCCCCCCCCAGCCCCCCCCCCCCCCCCCCCCCCCCCCCGAACAAACCCAGACCTAACCGATTCCGTTTCCTGGTTTGTTTGGCGCCTGAAGAGAGAATCATAATTTATATTGGTAGATCGAGAGAGATTCTTCTCTTCTTCGTCGTCGTCGTCCTCGTCCTCGTCTTCTTCTATCCGATCTCTCGTCTTCTGATTCTGCCTCGTCGTGGTGGCGGTCGTCGTCGTCGCCGCGATCCGTTCGCCCTCGATTGATTGATTGATTCCGTTGGGACCAAGATTGAGATCGGGATCGATAGAGAGAGACAGAGAGGATGTCTTCGGGGAATAGCAGGTACGGGGAGTTCAACCAGAGGATCGACTACGTGTTCAAGGTGGTGCTGATCGGGGACTCCGCGGTGGGCAAGTCGCAGCTGCTCGCCCGCTTCGCCCGCAACGAGTTCAGCGTCGACTCCAAGGCCACCATCGGCGTCGAGTTCCAGACACGCACCCTCAACATCGACGACAAGACCATCAAGGCCCAGATCTGGGACACTGCCGGCCAGGAGAGGTCGTCTCTAATTAATTTCATCGATTTAAACTTCCTTTTCGTTCTGTTCTTTCTCGTGCTATTTGGGTCCTGATTTGGTTGATTAAGATGACGTTTCCTGTATCCTTTTTCATCATGCATTCGATCGTTTGAGAGAGCAGGTTATTTCCTTTCAATAATTAATTAAATTTCAATTTAGATCCATCCTTATTTATTGGGTGTCCTTTAATATTTAGGGACGTTGCATCAGATGCTGATTAGTGTACCGGATGTTGAGGAAATGTAATGCTTGTTGATACGAATTCCATTGATTCTGAACATCCAGTTCACTCTTACAAGAGCTATTTTCAACAAGGTTGAATTTGGTTTTGATGTTTTATGAAGATCTTTCTTTGAGTGTATTCTTGTTGTTGTCATATCCATCGCAGTTTTACTTGTCACTTTCGCTTTGATTTTCAATCAGATGAAGAGGAAGAATAGGATAGATTCAAGAATTGAAGTAAAACATTATTTGGAGGAATTCAACAGAAGACATATCAGAGCGTAGAATAAAAATCCTTAATAGAAAACAAAGGTCAACTGCCAATTAGTCCATTGTAGGACTTTCATCGATTCAAACTGGAATCAAAATTCTGACTGCCATCTATATACATTCAAACACAACTAGAAGAAAATGCATGCATAGTCTCAGTTTAGTTCAGAAATCATTACCTGCAACAGAGACTAATAATTCAACAGCTATTTTGCACCATCAAACAGTGCTTGTTGGCTTGATCGAGGGTTGTAATAAGACATTAGTCTAGCCCTTCCTTCCGCTTCAATAATGTTCCAAAGAAATCACAGTGTCACAGGTGATTTTTGACAATTATATTTTACCCATTCCTCTGTAGAAATAAGTTTGTCTAAAGATTTTTAATCCTACATGTGGAGATCCAATGTACATTGGCTTTTTACAACTGATGCTGTGGTTAATACATCCGAAATGTATTAACAAAATTTTAAGTGTCAATAATAGAATGACTTTGAAAAATGTAGGTAGGTTGCATATTAATTTCTTGTTTAACAGTTAGTAACAAAAAGTGAACTATATAGTGCTTTAGAAATATAGTTTTGAATTTGGCACAATTGATACTATTCCATTTTTAGCTGTGCCAGGACATAACTATTGACACTTCACTGGCACATTAGTATACTTCGAGCTGTGACATAGTTATCCCAACTACACAGATAAGTGCTTCCTCTATCTTCATGTTAACTTCCTCTGGATTTTATATATGCTTTTAAGTCTTTAGAAGTTTGGTGTATGAGAGATAGGTTCAAGAGCCATGACAGCCAATTATTATTGAGGAATGAAATGAGTGCAATCATAAAAGACAGTGCTTCATGCTAGGTGATCATGTTTGCTGCGTTCTGGTTTGAGATAAAAGGTAATGGGATGAAGGATGATTGATATCTTGCTCAGCATTACTAATGATCTAAGTGTATTCCACTGAGAATTGGGATTCTCTTACATTTTTCACTCAGTTTCGTTTTAGTATAGAAGTGCTGGATTTTTTTAATTATATATGTGTATCTGGTATAGATGATTTATCTGTTAATTTTGTTGAGTCCAAACCATTATTAGATCCTTATAAGTTAATTTTAGTCTTAACCTATTTTTAATATTAGACTAACTAGGTGTTACACTTATCTGAGTTACACTTTATGATGGCACTAATGCTTGCCCTCCATTAGATTATTGCATTCTGAACATCATGTCTACTTGGGGAAAATTGAATAACCGTACCGACAAACAATTTTGTTTTCTGGTCCTTTAGTAGACTAGTTGTTAGGTGCAAAGTAAAAATCTATACCTTTACATTAGTAAAATGTATGCACCATAAATTCGAGATGGCTCTGATTTGACTTTGATAATTTATTCTTTGCCTAATTATAGACATGGTTGAATCTATGTGAATAAGATTCCACCTAAGTCTACCATAATAAATGCATTTTGCTTTGGAGCTCCTTATTGAATAATGGAAATGAACTTTATATGGTACTCTACCAAGATTTTTGTTATAGAAGTAACTTGGGCTATTGTCATATTTGGAAATATGTGGCTGGAGAATTACCTGGAATATAAAATGTTTCCAAGAGATGGTCCAGACATATTTATGAGATCGGAACAACTATATAATGACAATTTGCCCTTGCTACTTTTCATTAGCTGGAGTAAACTAAGGTAGTGCTTATATCGCTTAAACTTGTTTCGATCACTTTTGGAATAGTCATTTCTCTTGTTGAATCCTTGCCTTTGAGGTGGGTGATATATGATCTTCTACCCTTGCCAAATATTAACTTTAATTTATGTACCACCTTCAGATTACCAATCGATCACACTAGTAGCTATATTTAAGTTGACTTGATTGTTGTGAGCTCTATGATTTGCTAAAACAACTCAAGTTCTTCATACCTGCTTACGTGGTTATCCAAATATGCCTAGAATTGCTTAATTGAGCACCAAACAGGAACTCATAAAATATTGAAATCCCGAACCTACTACTTCAGTAACCCAAATTCCACAATATATTTGCTAATGAAAAAGAAAATAAAATCTTTAGATTGACCAATATAAACTTGGATGCTACTGCTATCTAATGCAATGAAAAAAATGATAAATATAAGTTCTTGTTTTACCCTAGATCAACTCAGACCAACTTTTCTGGATTTAATCTTGTGAGTATTGAGTGAGTGTACATTTGCAATATGGCAGTTCTGGAATAAAGAACCTTCGATGGAAGAGTATGCTTTAGTACTGAACACTAGTAATGTCCATCTTAATAGCAGCTGACTGTCAGCATCTTCTCCTATAAATTGCCTTACTTCTGCTTCTGGTTAATATTCACCTTACATCTAATATTCCAATTCCCTATGATGATTACCAACAGGTACCGGGCCGTAACAAGTGCATACTACAGAGGCGCAGTGGGGGCAATGTTGGTTTATGACATAACGAAACGTCAAACGTTTGACCATGTGGCAAGATGGCTGGATGAACTACGGGGACACGCTGATAGAAACATTGTAATAATGCTCATTGGCAACAAATCTGATCTCGGAAGTCTTCGTGCAGTGCCCATTGAGGATGCCAAAGAATTCGCCCAACGCGAGAATCTCTTTTTCATGGAGACCTCTGCTCTTGAGGCCACAAATGTCGAGGGTGCCTTTGTGACTGTGCTCACTGAGATATATCGGATCACAAGCAAGAAATCTCTTGTCGCCAATGACCAATCTGACTCTACTGGAAACTCAAGCTTGCTCAAAGGAACCCAGATAGTAGTTCCAGGGCAGGAGCCTCCAAGTGAGAGTAAATCCATGTGTTGTGGGTAGACATAGATGGTGCATTTTCTATGGTTGCCTATCAATTTGATTTGGATAGGGTTTCTTCATCTTCTTTTGTTTGACATTTTTGAATGTTGATATTCCTTTAGCGATCATAAGTATGCAATTCTTTTGATTTTTAGTGTATGTAATTCCATAGACACGTCAAAAGATTTTAATTAGCATGAAACTTTGTTTTAGTTGATTCCCAGATTTATGTATAATTTAAATCAAATTTATCTTTTCAATTATTTGTTCTTCTTTCAAGTCATCCTATATAGTAGACCTGTACTTGCTTCAGGGAAATAAATAAAATTGGTTAGATGATGTGCTTCTGATCCGGTAACAAATGGACTATAAAGATTGTTTTAAAAGCTAAACCTTTCATGGTAAATTATTTAGCTGTCATGATTCTTCTATAATTACATTTATACAGTATTTTCCTGTTGATTAAATATAATCAAATGATGAGAAGCCTCCCATACACAAAGATAAATCCTTGTCCTTAAGAGACGTTTCGATTAGGTAAAGGCATGTTATGATTCTCTGAGAACCGCATTAAATATTACTTGGTGTCATTTAGATCGATCCTTTTTTTTTCTGTAATGTATGCCTATAATTAATTTGTCATTTTAACTGCTATTTAAAACTTCAATTAACATGTGTACACTATAAAAATTATCATGATGCTAAGAATATTGGAGTAATACAAGTGTTATATATAACTTGAACTTGCCAATATTAACCACAATTAAAATCGATTAACTTTTTTCGATGAATCATAACATGATATGGATACATTCAATAATAAAAATTGTATGGGAAAATATGCTATTTCAAAAGTGTGTGTGTATATATATATAAACCCGATCTTTATGAATTGAAACGTGGAGTTAATGATGGTTTAGGGGCCAATTAGCAAGAAGATTAGCAACCAACCCGCGACTAAGTCGAAAGCATTATTTCCCTCTTCGGTCTCTCGCCAAGATGATACCGTTTTTTAAATCCGCGACATCTTCCTTCCTATCCTACTCCAGCGGAGACGTTAACTCTCGGGTCGGTTCCCGTCGCCTCACTCCGTGACCGATGTAGAAGCAATATATGGCTTTCTCTCTTCCCTCTCACTCCATCCTTCCTCCCACGGAAAGAAAGAAAAAATATAGCGAGAAAACGAAGCGATGGTCGAAGGCCAAGTCGAACCCTCCATCGACGCCTCTTCCTCTCCTCCCTCCGTCGACGCACCCGCCCCGGCTGCCACCTCTGCCCGCTCCCCCCAGCTCCTCCTCCGCCCCCGGCGCGAGCCTTTCGAGCACGGTCTCCTCCCCATTCCCAAGCTCATTTTCTCCGACGGAACCCAAACCCTAGCCGCCCTCGCTGACAAGCTCCTCCACAGATCCATCAGCTCCCCGCACCGCGTCGACGTCCCCGCCCTCGCCGACGCCTTCCAGATCTCTCTCGACCACGCTCGCCTTGCCCTCGATACCCTTGCATCCGTCCTCCCTTTCGAACCCGATCCGGACGGCGTCGCCAACGTCCATGATATTGTCTTATTTCTCTACGTCCAGTCCTACAAGCGGCTGGTCCCCCGTCCGCACAAGGACTCGGCTGCCATCGCCGATGTCTGGCCCTCCACATCGGCCTTTGACGGCTACTTGTCCGCCCTCTCGCCACTTCAGGTCCTGGAACTGTCTTAATCCTTGCAACTTTCTCCTCAACCATTTCGCATTCGGTGACACAAATTGCTTCCCGTTGCAAAATTTTGTCAATGAATGCTAGGAATAAAAGATTCATAGGATCTAATTTTGAAGAACAATCATCGTACTTGAAGTCTCTAATAGCTGTGCACATGTAATTTGTTGGTTATGTGAGTAACCTCCAAAAAATCAGTCCATTATGGCGACACTTGGATATTGCCAATATAATGCAGCATAGAAGAACCAGAGAATCTTGATAGAAACTTCTGATCATCAGCAATGTTGGTCCTTCTTAGCGTGCAACATTTGGTGCTTCTACTCTTTTACAAGTATGCAATTACTTTTGAAATAATCGGAAATATATTTGAGCTACTTTCGACCACTTACTAATTGTATTTTCAAGCACAAGTCATACATCTTTCTAGCTAAATTTTGATACCTGAACAAGTAGGAGAGCTTGTTCAATCATGTTTCGTTTCTAAGCTCGGTGATTAACATCATGCATGGTCGTTAGATTTTCAAGATGATATAAATAAAGACACCTTGGCAAGTGGAGCATGGGGGGGTAAATCAGGAGCATAGCTGAAAATTTAACACAAAAGGGGCTTTTTGATTCTTAAAGAAACTGTTCTATTCCTGGTTGCCCTTTAGAATCTGAATTTGAACTCTTGCTCAATCAAAAAGATGGAGGTACTTGATAAAATGCTCCCTGAAAGCAGCACTGGAATGGTACTCGTTGAATTGATTAAGTGAATTCATATGTTCTGCAAAATTTGGATTACAGTAGCGCCAGCCAAGAAATTTGAGTCAGATTGTTCAAATTTTGTAGTCGCATTCAGCTTAGTTTTATTGTTCATGCTATGGTAATCAAGCACATCTATGATTTAGATAAATAGAAAAATTAGGCTTCTGAATCCCTAATTTGCTAAATTTGCAGCTTGTACGCAGTAATAGTCGTCGATTTATGCCTTCACAAGTGGATGAAGAAGCTCATCAGTTATCATACTTACAGAAGCATATGGCCAATATTATTACCCTATTGGCGGAGCCTGCTGAAGGGGAGGGTGATGAATCTCTGGTTTGTCACATGAGGACATCCTAATACTTCTCATTTGTTACATGCCGTTGCAATTCTTTCAGTTTTCCAAAGTAATGACATCTTTTCTGTTTTTTTCTTGTTAAATATCTCATTTACAGGTTTTGACAGTGGAAAGATTTGAACACCTTGGTTTCCTTCTCCATTTTTCTGAAGGAATTCCATTGACCCAAGCAGCTCCTTTTTTTGCTAATTCAGATCCAGACATGCCTGCTGTTCCTGTTTCTGCAGCTCAAGTCCATGACTGGGTCGTGCAAAACATAGTCGTTTCATTGGAACATAATGCTGAGAAGGTATTAGCAAAGGACAACAATATGCATAATGCTGCAGACTTGGATGTGCCAATGACTGATATCTGCTCAAGTCATACAAGGGTCCAAAGCAGCTCACCTCCTGGGACCTCTGTGCCTGCTAATTCAACATACGTGACAAGTGTAACTTTTGTGGAGGGTATATCAAAAGCTTCGGTGGTCAAGCAGCCATGTGATATTAAGGGGCCTTCTCTAAAGGTAAGGCCACATTGGCAAACCTTCATTCGTAACTTCAAACCAGGTTTGACAATCTCGATCCATATTGGGTTTTGGCATGCTGGTGTATAAATATGATATGCTGTTATGGAGCAAGATTTCAGTGCAATCTCATAGGCTGCTAGCAAAGTTAAAAAAACAAAAATAAAACAATATATATCTATAGCAGTCACATGCTCTCTTTTTATGTGTCCAAACAGATCAAATAGCGGAGAAACCATAACCATATCCGTTTTTGATTGGCAGATAAGAATTTGGATATGGATATTAAACAAATACTAAATTTTGTTACCATATTTGTTTCAAACAAATATATTACATAGGAAAACACAGTCAAATGATTTCTTTCTTAGATTAATATGAGTAAATTTGACTATTCTATATGTATTTGGAGTTCAAATGTTTGGGTGCGATTATAACCCGAGCATGTCCATTTTTATATTTAAAGTGGGACAGAGATAAAAGTATCTGACGTGTACAAATTTAGTTATCCATATCTGGTTCGGATATGGCGGACCACTCCAGTTTGACCCTAACTCTTCTAATTCTTCTCTCTAAGGTTACTGCAGCAATTTTCCAACACTAGCCCTTGAATGCATCAGGATTTTACTTGAATTGAACCTGCTTTAGTTGTAAATAAACCAAAAATAACTGGATTCATGCATGTACATTAGATTTCATCTAAAGTGTTCAGTCCATGTGCTGCTAGTTGCATATAGGTAAATAATGGGTCGTACACCTGGAATTTCATGGTACGGAAAACCTTGCCTTCAGATGTTGACTCTTGTGGACTACTGCAATTTGTGCATCTACTTTGAAAAACTTGTGCACACGGTTAAATTTGGTTTGTTAATTCTAATGTGTTGGAACACCATTTCTTGTGGATATTTTACAGCATGTTATTGCTAATAATTTATAGAATTTTTGTATTTAATACTGATCACCAAGCAAACAACGGTGACAGAGGCAAGAACAGAATACTGTTGTGAAAGGATTTTAGATAAGTAGCTCTCAAATTTTCTAATTGACTAGTAGAACAATGTGTTATAGTTGAGGTTCCATCATATTCTAGCTAGCTTTTGTGAGATATTAACTTTTACTTGGTTCTATATAAAAATAAAGCTGTTATACTGCAGGTGTTAAACTGCCATGATTCAGTGATATACATCTTAGCACCTTTGAGCTATGCTACAATTTATGGATGTTCAGATGCGACTGTTGTTCTTGGTGCCATTGGTAAGGTATGCGATGATCACATTGTGCTTATCAAAGATCACTTTAGAGGAATAATGCAAAGTGTTATTAGATCAATAGTGCATAAGCTAGCAATTGTACACATTTTGTCTGCCTAATCAAGCTTTTAAAAAAGTGGAAGTGGAATGCAAGTAGTTGGGTCATGGCGGAGGCATATGAGGTATGCAGGCACAGGTGCATATGCAAACATATATTTAATTCCTATGAATAAAAATGAAAATGAATTAAACTTTAAGCAACATCATCAAATTTCATACGTAGATAACAAGATATCTTAACATTAAAAAATGGAAAAACCTACATATCTAGTGCTGCTTGTTCTTCATTTTCTAATAATTGAATGCTTGATGATTTTATATGTATTATTTCTAGGAGCAGCTACAATTTTGGTCTGTTATCAACCATTTCATTTGCTTTCTATGTCCACTTATTTTTTTCCTTATCCTAATATATTGTTATATGTTTAATGTTTTTGTAATATGCCGTGGAGCAAGTTGGCAAAACTAATTATATAGAACAAATATTAGTAAGATTGACTTTCTTTCATGCCTCTTGGCATGTGAATGTTTTACTTATGCTGTTTTCTTGATTGGATTTTGAATTCAGTAGTTGTGTTTTTCTTTATTTTTTTTAGGCTGTTAAAGTGGAGCACTGTGAAAGGGTACAGGTTATTGCAGCTGCAAAACGCATTTGTATTGCAAATTGCCGTGAATGTCTGTTTTGCTTAGGGGTTAATCAACAACCTCTTATCGTTGGAGATAATCATAAATTGCAAGTAAGTGTTCTTTGTTTCTTTATTTTTTTACTTCTTCTGTATCCATATCTTGCCATTAATATTTTAAATGGGAAGTGCACATCCCATCCGAATAAAATTATTGATGCCAAATATGCGTGGATATCAAAGCATGGGTGAAGATGAATGAGGCATCAAACATTATGATGCAATCAAAATTTGATTGTAGTCTTTATCTAAACAGTTATTTACTAAATCATCCTTTTATCAGCAAAGATTCAAATTCTCTGGTGGCCTCTTTTTCATTTCTGATATACAGTAGAACAGACATGTGAATGATAATAAAAAAAAAGGAGCATGACTAGTTTTTGTAAGTTCTGATACTTTTAACTGATATTGTTAGGATATCACAGTTCATTCAGTCTGGATAATACTAACCTATTGTTGGATCATGATCTTATAAACCTATAAGTAAAATATATTATGGATGATGTTACAGCATAATAGAATGTCTAATGGAAAGAGAATAACTTTCTTAATAGAATATCTAATGGAAAGAGAATAACTTTCTTCATCCAGGAATAATGACATTTTTTCTAGGACATGTTTGAGTGGTCTAAAGCAAGGATTAAAATATCATACCGTACCGGAGTTTCGATATTCATTCAGTATGGTACGGTATTGTATATTGAGCGGTATACCGTTCGGTGACGTCGTAGAAAAACGAGGCGACGTTACCTCGACAACGTCGCCTATATATATATAAGTAAAAAAAATCTTTTATATATATATATATATATATATATATATATATATATAGCATCTCCGGTAGTAAAGGATGGCTTTTTCCAGTTGCGTGCCATTTGTTGATGTGCGAAAGCATGCTTCCGTTTGCTCATCTTCGAGCTCAATCAATAAGGATCCGGAGTCTGCCCTAAGGATTGAAAAATGTAGCCGAGCATGGAATTCTATCCTATGAGTCTGCTTGTTCTTCCTTGTACTTCGACATTGTGATATGTTGCCTACACCCCATGTTATTTAGATTTAGGCGACGTCACCCAGCGTGGGAGAAGGGAAAGGCGACATCGCCTTATATATATATACCGCTCGGTAACGGACGGTCCGTGTACTGGTCTGCTGACGGATCGATACATACCGCCCGTACCGAACGGTATTATTCGAAATTGAAGACCTTGGTCTTAAGAAGGTGCAAGTGGATTCCTTTCAGATATGTTTGTTTCTTATTTAGTTATGGTAATCTCATTCTCTAATATCAATTCACGTGGTTGACACTGATCATAGGATTTTGGCCTGCAATTGGGCTTGAACATCTAAACATAATATTTCTTCGTCTGTATTGATTGTTTATTGAGATGGAGATGAAACAAAATAAATACTAAGCCACAATCTTGTATGAGTAGGACTAGGAGCATAATAAGCATAATGTAGTATTTATCAAACGTTGAAATTGAGGTTGAGATAGATTTTAATAAGATAAAAAAGATTAGAAATGCTTTGGTATTGTGCTTATATTATTCAATAAGAAGAGAGGTTGAGAAAGATATTGTTCATATGATAGGAGCATAATGGATAAAAGCAAAGTTCCTATTATTCCTCATGTTGCATTCTATGTGTGATCACAGTGTAATGAGCCATGCTTTTGTATATTACAATGCTAGAGAATTAAGAAATGGTATCCGAAAATGTTACTGTTGCATACATGAGTTTGGTGGTTAGTGGTACACCGAAGGATAAGACAAGTTGCTTACTTAACTAAAGTATTAGTTGATACTAGTGACTCGGTGAGGAGATCTCATATTTACCAATCCATTTAACAGTGACTTGCTACTGCAATTTCTTAAATCAACGGAAGTGTTATATCTACTTCTGTGCCTAGAAGCACCTTTAGATGAACCTCAGAGCTAAAATCATGGATTATGTTCTTCGCGTGTTATAGATTTTTTTTCTTCTGGATTAAAGCCTCAAGAATTATATATCGTCAAGCAGTATTGAGTACTTCTATATCCTTTCTTCACAGGTCGCACCATTTAATACCTACTATTCACAACTGGAGGATCACTTATCTCAAGTTGGTGTTGATTCGAGCATCAATAGATGGGATGAACCCTTGGTGCTGGGGATGGTTGACCCTCATGATTCTTTGTCTCACCCTGCAGGGGTCTCTGATGTTCAAGCTGAGTCTGCCACATGTATCGATCCTGATCAGTTTACTAATTTCTTGGTATGCTCAAATTGTTACAGTTCTTGGTCGAGCACTTAAAAAAAATCAGTATCAATATTTCCTTTAAAATTTCTCTTTTTTTCTGGTGAATGCTCAAAATTTGTCCTGGCAGTTTTATGCTAATTAATTTTCCTTGACTATTGATAAAACCTTAGCTGTATTTTTTAGTGTGAAACACTCTGTGGGCTTCTTGCTAGTCTTCACGGATGTAACATCTAACAAGTTGTAATTTATTACATGCAGATTCCTAACTGGTTTGGAGCTGACTCACCGCAGTCCACAAAATATAACCCATTTCCGTTGCCTGAAATTTATAGAGCATCCCAGAAAAAGAAGGTAGAACATACTTGAGTGTTATGATGACTACAGCTATAGTTGTATTTCTTCTATAATGCCATTTTCTTAAAACATTTGCAATCTGTAATTTTCTCCAGCACTCAAATCTGACTGATGTTCAAGAAGCTATCAGGGATGTGCAACTTGATGAGAACCGAAAGCGAGAATTAGCATCGGCCCTTCATGTACATTTTAGAGATTGGTTATACGGTAATGCTTAGTTTCCTACTACTTCATCCAGCTGGTAGAACTTAGGTTAAAAATTTGGAGCTTTTGCTTCAATACAGTATCTATACTTTTTTTTTTGTGTGTGTGTGTCGCATAATACCTTCACTCAGGACACCTGTTATTTACGGAATATACTAGGTAAGTAGCAGCAACATAGTAAATTTATATATTGTAAAATACTTAGTGCATGTATAGTAAGATGTGGATATCTGTTTCATCCAGAACCTCTTCACAGTGATGGTTGTCACCAATGCCTTAAGACCAAAGATTCACCCCTCGAAGGTTGCTACTGAGCTCTTGCTGGGACTGGCCTTACACATCTTTTTGGGATTGCATCTTTTGATCTCAGGGGATGAACATGGATTTTGGTGGCAGTGTGGAAGAAGGGAGAGATGAATTAAGTGAGAGATCAAACAAGGTATCGCAGGGATCAAGAAAAGAAAGAATCAGGAGTGACGAGGAGAGGGAGAGGGAGGGGTATGCTATGATTCGGTTAAACATTAAAATGAGGTTGCTTCGATTGTTATTCTCTTGAATTAGTGGTGGATATACTATAGGCTAATTTAGTAAATTATATGGATCACATAATTTTATACAATATAAGTTGGATTGGATCGCTGCTGGATCAGAATAGCCCTGATCCATACTTGATTCAACTAGATTGCTGGATCAGGCTAGTATTGAACTTGACCCGTATCAGATTTAAATCCAGACTGGATCTCAGATACATGGATGGGGTCAGGGTCAGTTTTTGTTTTGGATGATTTACAACCCTAGATATCTTCATAGTACATTATATTGATCTACCTAAAATGTCCTTATAATGTTTCCACAATTGCTTTGACTGACTGAGATTTTGTGTGCAGCTTCGGGGAACATTCGCCAGCTATATTGTCTACAATCTGATTGAACCGACAAAAATGTTTGTTTGCTGGAGGTAATTTGTCACGGCCAGATTCTTGCAATACAACGGAGTTGGTCTTTTCTCCTCCAATCTGTCCTCGCATGCTTTACAAAATTTTTCATCCACTGTAACTGGCATCTGTTCTAATGCATCATGTAAACTGGATGCACATTTGGTACTAGAATTTTATGCACGCTGAGAGTTTTGATTTTTCTCTCTTTTTTTAAAACTTTTTTCCCCTTCTTCAAAGATCATCCCTGGGCTTGTCAGGTAGTTCATGTGCCTTGGCGGTGTTGTGGATGCCACGCATGGAGTTGCACTTATTGGTTTGCTACTGGTGAATAATATTGGCTACTGAAATCATTACGTTCTTCTGAGTTTTGAACTGTTAGCTAACATGTTTCTCTTCACCAAGGTTCTATCTAAAGCGTATATGGCGGATCCAATTGTGATGTCGTGGTGTCTGATGACCATGGGTTTCTTACATTGCTTCTCGACTGCAGCACCAAATCGTCGAGTCGGAGAGGACGCTTATGATCGGGCTTGATCCGAAATAAACCGGAACCCAATTCCGGCCCAGCATCAAACGATTTGGCTCGACGGGGCCGAAGGTCAGATCGTTTTGACTTATAATCTCATCACTTATTTGTTGCAGTACAGTGGTTATATATACTTCATTTTAGTGTATCCATAAATTCCTTTGTTGCGGTAGTTATTTGTGCTTCAATTTTTAATGGATTCTACTATTCTATAATTCGACGTATTTTTCCAAGTAAAACAAAGAAATTTTACTGATTTAAACACTTGTTCAAATTGTTATTTTTTTCTCTTCCAAAATAAATCGGAATGCCATGAAATAATAGTATCGAGCTCAATAAACCGTTAAGATCTTTACCAATTAAACTAATTAACACTTTTTTAAATGTATCATTTGTATGTTTGGAAAATTTAACCTTTGGTAAAAGGGTCTCACTAGACAAATAAATGCTTACAAATAATAAGATTTGTTAGAGATTATAAATAAAGATTCATCTCTACAAAGATAAAAATATATTAATCGAGCATACCATTCATCAAGAGAAAATATTAATTTTCAAATTAAGATTTTTTATTATTTTCAAAGGAAGATTATTTTTCAAACCAAATTAGAATTATTGCTTTGTTCCAAGAAATGACATCATGCATTTTATTTGATAAAATCATATATTTTTTTCATAATTTTATCTATGTCTATAGAAGATGATAAAATATTATGATGCATCAATCGAGAGATAATCAACGGATTGGATTTTTCTCACTGTCACAAGACATGTGAAAGGTGCGAGACATTCATGAGAGCATTCATTCATTCCGTAGAGTTATATTTTTCTATTAATTTATCTCTTCTTATATTTCTACTCCTGTCATTAAAAACCAAAATCCGTCATTGTTTGTCCGACGTCAATCGAGTTTTTTCATAACTTTATCTCTTTCATTCCTTGAAATGACACATCAGATGGCATCTTTTAGGCCACACGTAAAACAACTTTTGATGGAGATCGGTAGACTAACGAAGCTACTCGCCAAGCCATCTGCATCGGTTTCGATGGATGGAGATTGAGATGCGCTTGGAATCGTTCTCGAACATCGATTGAAAGAGGTGACATTTTAATGGAAGTAAAGGAGGGGACGAAGGACGAGGAACTACAAGCTGATTCCTTGGTGGTCCACTTGGTTGCGACGCCGGTGTTGTCTGGGTAAAGGTGATATGTGGAGGAGGGAAACGCCATTTTTTCCTCATGCTCGTAGCATATAAGTGGAGGAGAACGTCGAGGGCTTCCGTGATCACCATTTCCTCCTCCTATTTTTTAGGTATTTATGGTCAACGTGAAGTTCCTTTTTTTTTTTTAAGGTGATGGTTAGATCGAACTCCGCCATTACAAATCGATAATGTGATCCGATCCAACTCAAAAGATCAATCTTTTAAATTATGAATAAATCCCTATCGATAATTTGGCCCTTTCCACTTTTATCCATACGACATTATTATCTTGATGTCTTTCACACATAAATATTTTCTAATATCTTTTTCTATTTATGCGTGACTCAATTATCTCTCTCTCTTTTATTCTCTCTCTATTATGCTTGTACTTCAATCTTATTTTAGAGTTTGATGTGACACAAATCTTAAGGATTGTGGCATGAGAAACTCGTCATCATTATTTATTATTATTATTCTTGAGATTCTTAATCTTGTTTAGCTCACCAAATCTACTGTACTCCTTCACCTCGTTCGTCACTCTTATAACTTAATTTGACATAGATTGATTGCAATCAATAATTGCATACACGTCAATCGGTCTCTACTTAATGATCATTCGTTTAGATGAATTGATTGCAATCGACAGACTAATAGTTATTGTCTCCATGATTCGGTGATGTTGGACCCGAAAGCTTCTTCTCCATGTGTTCTTTAGGGGGACGCTCGCATGGATTAAGCGTGTGTGGTGTAGAGGAGAGGAGAGGTATCCTTATTGATATTTTCTTTCCTCTTCCCCATCCTTGTTGATCGACAGCTTAGCATAAAGCATAAGGACGTAGACCGAACCCCGATTGCGGATCCAATGATCATGGTTCTTAAATTTTGAGAATCGAAACCAAACCATGTAGGGTCGATTTAGATTCCATAACCAAATAATTTAGATTCGATTCCAATTGAAACTTAGCTGGGGTTAGAACTATGCAGACCAGCTTGCACTACGGTTCGGTCTCTTCGTTTTCTTGTGCCTCTTCATCTTGATGGAACCAGTCGCTAGTTGGGGAAGAAGGGCCTCATGACACGCTGCATCTCCCTGTCCACGTCGTCGGCGGCGTAATCGGTAAAATATCGCAGATGCTATCGACAGAGGAATAAAAATGGACGCAAATCTGCTACCTAAGGAGTCATCGTTTGTAGCAGAATGAACGATAGAGAGAGCAGTCAGTTCCCACGTGAATCATGCAGCCATGGATGAACAATACAATATTCATCTATGATTGCTGCAGACTGTAGTCACCGCTGCGGCTGGCGAGCCCTCTATAAGGACTAGCCGACCCGTAGCCCTCTTCGTCCATCACAGCACTCTCGAGCGTTCCTCCTCCGCATGACTAATATGCTGAAGCAAGGGTTACGAGCTCCGACCCACGTCCCCTCCCTCTTCCTCTCCCATAAGCCCTTGCTCTCTGGCCATGGCGCCTCGTGCGTGCCCATGGTGTCGTCGTCGTCGGCTCGACGCGGGAGGGCGTCGAGGCGTCGACGGCAGATCTGTTGCTCCGCCGCCGCCGAGGAGTCCACTCCGTCGGTGGTGGCGGCCGCGAAGAGGCCGGTCACCGTCAACGCCGTCTTGACGGTGCTGCCGACCGTGGGAGGAGCCTTCGCCCACATCGGCATAACGCGGGGGCTCGACGACATCGGCGATTTGCTTGGCAAATCCCTCCACCTTGAGCTCGTCAGCGCCGAACTCGACCCGGGTAATCATCTTCCTACGCGATGGAGATGATCTGCTCCTGGTTTAATATCTATCTAAAATACTTGACGATAACTAAGAAGAGAATTCCTCTCATCTTCTATTCTGGTATTCGGGTAGACAAACTTATGGTTTGACTCGATGAAGATGAACGGACCTACCTGTAAAATGATATCGACTCCGGCGAAGTTTGACTCCTTAAGAGTAAGGAGAAGATAATAGTCAATAAACTCACTTATAAATAGGAAAAAATATTCATAAGTCTTGAGATAATAAAATGAGTTGAGAGGATAAAATATTCAGGAGTCAGATTACAGTAATATACCATGTTGGGCTCATAGAAACTTATGTTCTTAGATTGAATTGGTATCTGACCTGATATATGTTAAGATTTTGATACTTTTGTGAATTGTATTGGGTTCCCAATCCATTAAACCTTTCAACCTTAGTTTGATATAATGAATGAGATCTTATATCTTATACCAAATAACAAGTGTTCCTGATGTTTTGACAGCAACGGGACTGGAGAAGAAGACGATTGCGGCGTTCGCTCACAAGGCCAGCCACGGCGTTGAAACTGCCAAGTACGAAGCCAGCTTCAGCGTCCCACCGAGCTTCGGAGAAATCGGTGCTGTGTTTGTGAGGAATGAGCACCACAAGGAGATGTATCTCAGTGATATCGTCCTCTCCTCAGCGGATGACTCCATTGCTGTAAACATCAGCTGCAAGTCATGGTTGCACTCCAAGTTTGACAACCCTGAGGACAGGGTTTTCTTTACCAACAAGGTCTCTCTCTCTCTCTCTCTCTCTCTCTCTCTCTCTCTCTCTCTCATGGTAGAGATGATGGCATTTATTTCTATCTTAAGTATTTTTCGAAAATATTATATAAATATTTTTATTCTATTATGTCTATTTTTTTGGTTGATGTTAAATCCACAAACTGCCGCTCACTTTCCCTGAGGCGCCAACGGTCATTGTGGATAAGCACAAGTGACAAGCTGATGATGACCGGCGGTCCACAATTGTGGGGAACGCGCCAATCAATCATTGAGCACAACTAATAAGGACAACTGTAACATCACGGGGATTGTCGTCACCCGTTGTCCCATAACTACTCGACTCGATTCTGACACCCTCCCCACCATATCATGCTGTCCGTATCAGAGTCTGCCAATGGAACAAACCCACATCAGCACTTAAGATAAAGTGGGTGTGTGTGTGTGTATATATATATATATATAGTTAATTAATGTTATTCCCGCACACCAAATGCTTATCACAGGACCCTAATAGATATGTCTTTATGATCTTGTCATTCACCACGTTACAAGCACAGAAGATTCAAAAATAGCTTCAGAACTTTTAGTTTTATGTTGCACTTGTTTTATATTAGCCTAATCTGTCATCATGGGATCAAATTGTTTGATACCTAATTTGTCCGAATTATTCATGTGAGGCGAGAGAGATGAACTTTGCGAATAATTCGAGAGAATCGGTAACATGTATTGAGTTTGATGGACAATATAGAAGGTTGAGTTTTTGATTTGAATTGATGTTAAATCTCTAATATATATTAATATTTATCGGTTTGAATCAAAGTAGATGGATCCTAACTCGGCCCGACCGGAATTGATGTTGTGGGTGTGCCATGGCAGTCCTACTTGCCGTCTCAGACCCCGACCGGGCTTCAGAAGCTGAGGGAGAAGGAGCTGGAGATACTGCGAGGGAATGGCACCGGGCAGCGCAAGAAGTTTGAGCGGATCTACGACTACGACACGTACAACGATCTCGGAAACCCGGACAAGAACCCGAGCACGGCCAGGCCGGTCCTCGGCGGAAGCGAGGCGTTACCCTATCCTCGCCGCTGCCGAAGTGGACGTCCCAGGAGCAAGAAAGGTGTCCATGCAACTGCATGCTACACTCTTTTCTGCTACTACTACTTCTTCTTCTTCTTCAGATTTCTTTTTCTTCACGCTGCAGATCCTCAATCGGAGCAGAAGGGAGATGTGTACGTTCCCAGGGACGAGAACTTCTCGGAGGTGAAGCAGGTGACGTTCTCGGCGAAGACGCTCCGCTCGGTGCTCCACGCTCTGGTGCCCTCGCTGCAGACGGTGCTGGTGGATGCCAAGCTGGGCTTCCCCTACTTCACCGCCATCGACTCGCTGTTCGACGAGGGGGTGCCGCTGCCGAAGCAGGACGCGTTCCACGTCTTCCGCACCGTCGTGCCGAGGCTCGTCAAGGCCGTCACGCAGGGCGCCCATAGCATCCTGCAGTTCGAGGTCCCAGAAATGCTCGAGAGTAAGCCATCTTCCCCATTATGATCGTGCCAAGCAAGCTAATATTTCTATCGCAGAAGGTCAATTGCATTTACTGGTAGATTTCTATGCGTCGTTTCTGATTCGAACTGATTGCCTGAATCAGGGGACAAGTTTTCATGGTTTAGAGATGAAGAATTTGGTCGGCAGACACTGGCAGGCCTCAACCCTTTGAGTATTCAGCTAGTCACGGTATGATCCTTTTATCTCCCACGAATTCTTTGCTCGAAATCTTGTTCCCGTTTCGGACCTACGCCATGAATCATCTCTTACGCTCGACATGTTGCAGGAATTCCCTTTGGTTAGCAAACTCGATCCAAACATTTATGGTCCGCCCGAGTCTCTGATCACCGAGGAACTTATCGAGCGAGAAATAAAGGGAATTATGACTGTGAAAGAGGTATAATGCAGGATATGCTCCGTATCTTTCCAAACATCACAACGAGTTGTTCATAATTCTACAATAAAATGTTTGATTTAGGCGCTGGAGAAGAAGAAGATGTTCATTCTGGACTACCATGATCTGTTTCTGCCGTACGTGCATAAGATTAGAGAGCTGGAAGACACCACGATGTATGCGTCCCGCACAGTCTTCTTCCTCACGCCGGACGACACACTGAGGCCTCTCGCCATCGAGCTCACTCGGCCGGCTTCCCCGACCAAGCCTCAGTGGAAGCAGGTCTTCAGCCCTTGTTGGGACGCCACTGGAGCCTGGCTTTGGAAGCTTGCAAAAGCCCATGCCTTGGCTCATGACTCGGGCTATCATCAACTTGTCTCCCACTGGTAAGATGAACAATCGGCTTCATTAGAATCGAGATCGATTCGAGTTCTTTAAGTTGGAAAGCCCAGCATTTTGTCGAACACCGAGCTTCGTCGTTTATCTCAGATCATCTGAACTAGACTTACGAGCCACTCTGGGTAATGTCATTCCGCAGGCTGCGAACTCACTGTTGCGTGGAGCCGTACATCATCGCAGCCAACCGGCAACTCAGTCAGATGCATCCGATCTACCGATTGCTGCACCCTCATTTCCGATACACGATGGAGATCAACGCGCTGGCCCGCGGCTACCTCATCAATGCAGACGGCATCATCGAGCAAACCTTCTCCCCGGGCAAATACTCCTTGGAGCTCTGCTCGGTGGCCTATGGCAAGCTTTGGAGGTTCGACACGGAGGCCTTACCAGCTGACCTGATCCGGAGGTACTTGACATTAGAACATTGATGTCGCCATTGAATCTCTACAGTTCAACTTTGACGAAGCTCTTCTGTTGTTCGACAGGGGAATGGCAGTGGAGGACCCAGCGGCGGAGCATGGATTGAAGCTGACGATAGAAGACTACCCTTATGCGCAGGATGGTCTCCTGATCTGGTCAGCCATCAAGCAGTGGGTGACCGACTACGTCGACTACTACTACCCAGATGCCAGCCATGTCAAGGAGGACTCCGAGCTCCAAGAATGGTGGACGGAGGTCCGAACCAAGGGGCACGCCGACAAAAAGGACGAGCCATGGTGGCCGGTGCTGAACACACAGGAGGACCTGATCCACGTCCTGACCACCATCATCTGGGTGGGCTCCGGCCACCACGCCGCCGTCAACTTCGGACAGTACCACTATGCCGGCTACTTCCCTAACCGTCCCACCATCGCGCGCACCAATATGCCGGTCGAGGACTACAGCGACGAGCAGCTCGCCAAGTTCTGGGCCAAGCCGGAGATCGCCCTGCTCCACTGCTACCCCTCGCAGATCCAAGCCACGATCGTGATGGCCATCCTCGACGTGCTGTCGACGCACGCGCCCGACGAGGAGTACCTGGGCCGCGACCCGGAGGCGTCGTGGGCGCAGAACCCGGTGATCTACGCCGCGTTCGAGCGGTTCAGCGGGAAGCTGAAGGAGATCGAAGGCATCATCGACGGCAGAAACGCTAACCCTGAGTTCAAGAACAGATGCGGCGCCGGCATCGTCCCGTATCAGCTCCTGAAGCCGTACTCCGAAGCTGGCGTCACAGGAATGGGTGTCCCGAACAGCATCTCTATATGAAACACCGACGAGACGTAGAACTCCTCCCCTTCCTTTCTCTATCTTCCCTTCACCACTGTAGGCAGAGTTTTCGAGCGTTTCCTCGATCGCCATTTGAATAAAGCCAAGCATCAAGGTGTTTGATGTTTGGTCCTTGTTTGATATGTTCAAAGAGGTCACAAAAAATCCAGCCTTGGATAAATCACAGAGCTATCTCACGAACATTTATGGGACTTGAACTATAGGTGTTAGTGTAAACAACCTTAAGCCGTGGCCTCGGGACCGACGCGGCTTGGTTCGGGTCCGGATGACGGGGATCTCCTTGGGACGTGCCTCGAGACTGCTGAGGTGGCCGATCCCATTGTTCCGATTGGGATGGGGTCGCTATCCTCTCCGGACAAGAACTCCTCGCCTACGCGTCCTACGGGGACCTTCGGCTTCGCACCTGCACAAAGGTCGGGTCGGGGGAGCTCGGCCCGATCCCTCCGACGATCAAGTTAGTGAATAGTCGCAGGGGGTTTGTTATTTATATTGGTGTCCTCCTCCCCCCATTTTCCGTTTAGAATGCAAGGGTATTTATATGGAAGCTTACTGTTTCCTGATGTGCCCGCTTGCAGGGGACAGACTCGTACTCCTGGTAGCGTCTGACACTGGTGTTGGCGTGGCGTGAAGGACCGAGCCTGAGCAGGATGTTTAATGTGCCTCGGTCGGTGTTCCGGTCCGTTTGACCAAGTGGTGTCAGGTCAACCGAGGCGTCATCTAGGGCAGCTGACGTCAACCCGAGTCTTATCGGCATTATTACCTTCATCATATTCCCCCCCCCCGAAGGAAGCTATGCGTCAATTGTTGTAAAAGGGGGGTCTGAGGCATGGCTTTGGCTTTGAGAAACTGTCCCAGCCGGGCGTTTTGCCAGTCCGTTGCCAGGGGTGGGGGAATCGTGGAGTTTAGCAACTAAGAAAGGTTGGATGTGCAGCGGTGACCCCGGGTAGTGTGCGACCGAGGAGCACACTCAGTAGAGCAGGCCGAGCAAAGGCTATGGTCTCAGGGAGCATGGAGCCGAGGAGCACGACGCAGGCGGGCTGGCCGCGCAAGTGTGGTCTCGGGGAGCATGGAGCCGAGAAGCATGACGCAGGCGGGTTGGCCACGCA